TTTTTTTCTGGTCACATTTTTACAGTTAGCGGGTTTGAGTATAATATTAATGCCTATCTAGGATCCATAAAAGCTTTTGTAACAATGTGTGGACATTTTGATATCAAAACAAAGCCCCTGATGCAACCTTATGCCACTAAACAGTTTTATTTAAAGCAACCACACGCAACTATATGAAGAGTAATTAACAACTACTAAACAGTTTTGCTCTTGTCTTGTAATTCTTTGATAATTTTTGGTATTTTATATGTACTGGAAACTTGGACACAAATCAGCTGGAAATGAAGAAACTCACACACTCTCCTTCACCTCTTTGAACTCTCTTAAATTCAAAAGTAAATTTAATATCAGAATGTGGTGGACTGAGGATAGACTTATAATAAAAAGCCTGAGTACTTTTATTTATTGGACTTAAGGATCATAACACAACTGCCACTCATCTAAGGAAACCATCTATGGGTTGTTTTGACCATTTGATATGGACATAAGTTATGAACTAGTTACTTGAGGGCAAAACAAACAAAAAAGATTGTTCCATTTGTGAAAGCGGTGCCAAGAATATCATATCATCTCTCTCATATATCACACATGGGTCACACTGTTAAAGGATAAACTGTTATGTGACCTCTTAGGTAATAACCACTATACCATAAAGTAAAAGTGTGATACAGGCATTAAAATGTGACAGGAATATAAAATGTTTCAGATATCTGCCCATATGAGATTTAGAGAATTAAACTGATTTCAGTTACCTTATTTCATATTGTAAAGCATCTAGAATAGTTGAATTGGAGCAAATAGCCAGATAAAAATTTTTGAAGAGTTATCCAGTAGTTTTAATAATTTCCGTCACAAATTCAAAAAAGAATTACTAGTTTACATTTTGGATTGCGGACTAATATGAAGAAATGCTTTGCCAACAGAGCCTTTGCTTATTGAGATGAACAAATGTGGGCCCTGATGGAGGAGAGACTAAGATTATAGAAAGCTTTGGATATATATTTGACAAAGAAACTAAAATAGAACAGAATAGAATACTTTGTTCTATCACAATCTATATGAAAATAGCTTGTGTGCAAGCTCAAATAAATAGCATAAAAAAGAATAATAAATTAAAACTTGCCGAACATATTTCTTCATAAGATTCTTGATGGAAAAGGGAGAACATCAAAGGTAAATGCTATTTTTAAGGCATTTAATTCAGATAAGGAAAGTATGGAGAAGTTCTGAAATTCAAGTATTATTTTCATATTCTAGGAGACTACAGGAAAAAAAATTCTTTTCCATCCTATCCAATCTTCCTGGAAGAAATTCCAGCAGCAGCCTGTAAGGTAAATGGAGTGTGGAAAACCAATTCACAAATTGCAGGCTTGGGAAAGAATAACACTGCTTAGAAAATGAAAGTCGATCAAGATTGGAAACATTTCACCTGTTTTCATTTAAATCTTCAATCTTTTTTCCTGCTGGTTTAGGAAACAGAATACAACATAATGGGGCAGTAGGGAGTATGAATTCTAAATATTTTGAAATGGCCACATTGACATGCTCAATGCAATTTTCTGTGACTAAAAGAAAACTAGGCATTTGGGTAATCTCCCAGTTAAAACATGGTTCACGAAACTTAAAACAGTTATTTTCACCCATGTGTTTTATCCCCTTATTATGTAAGATTTACTTTAATCAATTAAGGCAGAAGCTTAAAAAAACTATCACAGAAGTTAAAGACAGAAAATGAACTGAAATATTACTAGACTAGTCCCCTCCTTTCAATTCAATGTGTACCTACCACTTTTCAGAGAGCTAAGCATTTACTTCAATAATAAGAACCTGAAAAAAAAAGTTACTTGTTAATTTCACTTCTCATCCAATCCATGACAAAATACCCCATGCTCATAAACACTTTTCCAAGGTGTCCAAACTAAATCTTTCATGTAAATTCCAAACTGCCTTATAAACAGCCTGTGACAAGTCAAGTAATTCTGACAAGTCAACACAACTGAAGGAGAGAGTCACACTACTTTAAATTTAAGTTCAAAAGAGTTATTAATTAAAGATATCCAGAGTTTCTAAAAGGAACAATTAGCTCCCTACTACCAATTTTTTGAAATCATTATACATAGAAGGTGTGATATAAAATTTAAATGCTTAAAACCTGAGAAATTTTGATACGTCAATTTTGTAGTCACTAAAACTATTGGATTTATGCCCTACTGATACATAAAATACCAGTAAAAAATCATGAGATTTTCAAAAAGATTATGTTTCCAATATTTCAACTAGACACGTGACTACCACTGATGAACATATATACTAGAGAGTAGCTCCTGTACATTTAATTCTCATACCAATCTTAGGAGGTATAAGAATTTCCATTTTTAAAAATTACCATTATCATCCCCATTTTATACAGATAAGAAACACAGTAGTGCAAATACATGTACCCAGGCTTTCAAATTCAAAAATTTCTGCTCTTTACCTGCACAAAGGCCTACAGGTGATTTTTCATAGGAATGATGGGCTGAATTTTACTATCTATACTCTGTTACCGGACATGGTTACCTATTTATGACAAAGCTAATCTGAATTAGGTGTTAGTCTGAGACTATAGAGAATGGCCTGAGAACCCAGGCAAGTAATAGGATTGAAAATTCCCAAACTACTTTTGTTTAAGTGTTGGAAATATTCAATCTATAATAAGATACACTATGATTTTGAGCACTGAAAATCACTAGTGGGGCGCCTGGGTGGCTCAGTCGCTAAGCATCTGCCTTCGGCTCAGGTCATGATCCCAGGGTCCTGGGATCGAGCCCCGCATCAGGCTCCCTGCTCGGCAGGAGGCCTGCTTCTCCCTCTCCCACTCCCCCTGCTTGTGTTCCTGCTCTTGCTCTCTCTCTCTCTGTCAAATAAATAAATAAAATCTTAAAAAAAAAAAAAAGAAAAAGAAAATCACTAGTGAACTACCACTATGGTATTAACTCTTTCTCTGTCTCTGCGTATGCCTCGCCTGTGACATGCTGCCATCCATACCAGTGGCCCTCATTAGGGCAGTGATTCTTAGGGTGAAGAAATACCCTCCTTTCCATCAAGGGACTCGCCATAAGGGGCAGAAGTTCACATGAAACTTCCCTGAGTGACCTTGAGAGATTTTCCCCCTCCCTTTGGGAGTTATGTTTCCTCCATCCCCAACATTTAAAATCCTTGTTATATAGTAAAATAATAAATCACAACAGTTACTGGGTGATTTATCGGAGCACGGCCCTATTCTATGGACTCAATCAATCTTCACAACCAATTTATAAACTATATTAAGATTCCTATTTTATACATGAGGAAAGTAAGGCTCAGATAATTGAAGGAACTTACCCAAGGTTACACATCTAAAAAATGATAGACCCTCGCTTTGAACCTAGAAAATCTGATTCCAAAGACAGCACACTTAATCACCACATTATATTGCCTCTCATTAGTTGGCTGGAATAATTATAAGAAAGTCATTGAATCAAATGTGGAGACACTCTTCAAAATGATATCACAGTGACTCAACCAAAGTCTCATGGAGGAAAATTATTTCATAAATATAGGAACAATCTAAAATGGATCTTAGTTTATAAAACTGAACTTTGGGCCTTAGGTACTCTCTCTTTCTCTTTCTCTCTTTTGCTGTTTTCCATAATTGTTTTCCATAATTTCCATAATTTGCTCTAAATAACTGTGTTAACTAGTCTGAATTGATCCCAAGTGCCAAAGTGCCACTGTTGTATAAATCATTTACTTCTACAGCATCCTTTTAAAAAAGAATTTAATTAAACAACCTGTCAATAAGACATACCACTTATTTGATTGTTCTAAAAAATTTTAAAGGCAAAATATCATATAAATGAAAAAATATGACTAAATTTAATGACACAGATGAACCTCATTATTATAATTTAGCAAAAGAGGCCAGATACAAAGAATACATATGTATGATTCAATTTATATAAAGTGCAAAAATAGGCAAACTGGTGTTAGCATTTAGGACAATGGTTACCCTTGGAATGGGGCCCAAGGGTGTTTCTGTCTCTAGCACTATTCTGTTTCTTGATCTGGCTGATGGTTACACGAATGTTTCATTTAGAGAAATTCACTGTGCTTTATACCTATATTTTGTATACTTTCACACTATGTATGCCAGTGCCAGGCATACTTTGTAACATTGCTGCTGGAGATACTGGCCGATTTCCTGTCCCTACAGTTTGGCTTTTCCAGAATGCATACGAATGGAATCATATGGTATGTATTCTTTTAAGTCTAGTTTCTTTCACTTAGCATAATGCATTTGAGATCCATCCACGTTTTGCATATGTCATTAGTTTCTTCCTTTCTATCGCACAGTAGCATTACAACGTATGGATATATCACAATTGAAGAGCATGTGAGTAGTTCCCAGGTTGGTGATTTTGCATAAAGCCACTATTCATGCATGGGTTTTTGTATGAATCTGAGTGATGTATTTTGTGTGTTTTTTTTTTAATTCCAACTTGTACTTTTACCTGCACAAAGTATTTTCTATAGTGCCTTTAGTCTACGGTAATTCTGATGCCTAGAGAATATACCAACCAGCTCAAAATAATATAAAATCAGAAAATAAATCAAATTCAACAAGAAACATCTTACAAAAATAGATCAACTTTTGCAAATTCCTCTCTTAAAAATATTTCTTTTTGCAATAATCTACAAAATTAATAAAAATATTCCATTAAAGTTCTGGATTAATAAATCAAAATCCTGTTTAAATTGTACAAAGTTAAAATTCAGTGACACTACTAATTTGCATTCTAAAATTATAATGGATAGAGAAAAAAGAGATAAGGAATGTGCCTTGAAAAGTAGTCTTATATGCCTGTTTCGTAACTCCCTAATTTAACATATTATAAATTTCACCCAGCTGGTTAGTATTTTTTATCCATGATAATTTGGAAAGGATTTGAGTGACAAAATGGAAACATGGTAGATGTTACCTAGCATGTTGTGGTAAAGTGGAATGGCCCGTCCAAGGATAATAAATGCAGTCATGACTAGCGGGACCGCTACACCTGCAGGCAATTACAGAACAGAAAGCATCATTCTCCATTCACAGTGGCATGCACACACATGCACCAGTGCTCACACAAGGAGCCTTGGAGGAAGAACATGGGAAGCAAGCACACCAAGTACCTATCCATCAGGCCGATGCAGTCTTCAATACTTGAGCCTATGCACCTGCAGAAGATCCAAATTTAAAAAATACAAGGAAAGAAAAAATTAGTCATTTTTTAAAAAAGAATCAGTAAGATAAACACAATTGTTTCAAATTCTTAATCATAGTTTTTAGACAATTTTGGGACACTCTGAACTTAAGCCAGTGAGAAGATTATTGCTTGATGGATACAGAGAAATAAGTTGCAAATTCCACCCTAGTGGAATGCAAAGAAACATGTTCACAGTATAGGAAATTGTACCCTGTTTCTGTGGATAACTTCCAAACCCATATAACTCACTTCTAATGCTTTCAATTCACTTGCATCATTCATGAGTATATGTCTTGCTGAATAACTTGATATTTCAAAGGCTATAATTGGTTTCATGTATACAGTTTCTTCTAAAAGGACTTAAACTTAAGTAAAAACAGGGGCGCCTGGGTGGCTCAGTCGTTAAGCGTCTGCCTTCGGCTCAGGTCATGATCCTGGGGTCCTGGGATTGAGCCCCGCATCGGGTTCTCTGCTCAGCAGGAAGCCTGCTTCTCCCTCTTCTACTCCCCCTGCTTGTGTTCCCTCTCTCGCTGTGTCTCTCTCTGTCAAATAAATAAAATCTTAAAAAAAAAAAAAAACTTAAGTAAAAACTAAAATCAATTAAAAAAAAGAAACATGAGCTATTCAATATAATATAATAACCTGATGTTAATACTCATTAAAGATTGATTACGGCAGAAAATGAGTTAACATGTTTTAATGCTATTCTTATGGATACTTTACATAATCACATTATTCCATTCCTTGGTTGTGACTGTTTTTAAAGCATACTTATCTATAAACATGAATTCATTTAAAAAGCAAATTAACTGGATTCACCACAATGCAGTTTATCTTGACACTCTCTTTTAAAAGAGCAGGGTCATAACAGGCAAACAGAAATAGGTTTTTAAACTGCTATCATATTTAACTGGAACAATAACAAATAAATAAATACTTTCCAAGGAAATGAATGCACTAAGAACCAGGTAAGTAAATAATTCACTGAGATCAATATTTAAGTGGAATCATATAAGTACACAAAATCCTGGTGTACAGTCCCTAGAATTGCATTTTGAAGTATTATGGAAATATTGCTTCTCCCATCTTCCAATGTATTTGAATTGTATTTCTTTCCCTTCTCTCTCATCAAACACATATAGCTCCAGTGCATTATCAAGATTCCCTCTATGGCTATGATTTATAGAACTGTCTAACTCCGCTGATCACATTTTTTTCCCCAAACTCTAATTTCTAAAACTGAAAAAGAAGCTGAAGTTAAAAATCACCATATAATGAAGTAATAAGGTGCTCATGTATAAGGCCAGACTACCCATTATATCTTTAGATAACTCTCAACATTGGTGAACTAATATAACTATGTATAATAATAATTAAGTCACTGTTTCCTTGCTTCACCAGTATCTGCTATAACATTACTACTAAGTAAAAAGATGTTTTCTTTTTGAGGATTGGTTTTGAACAGGCCAGAAAAAATTTAATATACAGAAACATGGAGAACACCCATCATGAAAAAAGTCTTTTAAAAAAGCAAATAAGAAATAAAAATAAAAATATATAGCACATAGCACTGAATTGGTATTATAATCCATAACCAAAACCATTTTTTAAAATGGAAAAAGTAACTACTAAAAATGTTTCCAAATTGTCTTATATTGTTTTCTTTTTATTTTATTCTGAAGAACTTATTTTTTCTAGGTTCCAATTATATCTTCTTCAAAATGCTTTTTTATACAGTATTGCCATTTTGTAAAATTAATAGTCTACTTATTTCCAAGTTGAAATAAACCGAAAAGCTATGATTAGTTTGCAATCTGTGTCTTTATAATAACCTTTGAAAGATAAAAAATATTTGAAAGTGAAATTCAACTTGAGGGGAAAGTATGAATAATGAAAGATCTTTATTTATCCATTTAAAAAATTGTTTGCATGCCTACTAAGTGTTGCTACTCTTCTAGGAGCTGGAGGGAAAAAAAAAAAGATGAATTAGACACTTTGTCTACTCTTAATGAGCTCACAATTTAATGAAGGAGACAGATGCATAACCAGATGTATATTGTATAATGTGATAAATATAATGAGAGACATGAAAGAGTGGCCTAAGGGAGCATAGCAGAGGGATGCTTGGCTTCAAAAATTCATGGTAATCCTAATGGAGAAGACAGGAAGCTGAAGTTCAGGGTGCTGAGATCCAGGGTTGGAGTAGCAGTGATTTCTAAGGGGTAAGGAACAACAGGAATAAAAGCATAGACCTGAGGAAATGTAGAGTACACATAATTCTGAATAGTCAGGGAGCAAAACATGAGGTGACAGGGAGAGGGAAAAGAAGTGAGATCATTAGACAGCAGTCAGAATTTGAAGGCTATTTGCTTAGAAGCAAATTTAATGGAGAACCACTGCAGGTTTTAAAGAAGTAATGGATTTGCTACATTTGTGTTTTACATGGACCTCTGCCCTGTGAAGGCTAGTCAGGTGGGATCCAGGTAGATTTCTCTGGCACAGAGACTGTTTTGGTCTATATAAGAGATGAAAAAAGGATTAAACTTTGGAAATGGCAACTAGGTTAGAGGCAGGGCCAGATTCAAGAAATACCCTGAAAGGTATGGAGGGTAAAAGAGAAGCTGATGGCTGATTTGATGATGGAAGAGGAAGGGTCAGAGGAATTAAACATGTCAAATGTCCTTCTATGAGAATAGTAGTACCATCAGTGAGAGAATGTAAGAGGAGGGACACCTTTCCTTTTGCATGTGTTGGAGGAGGAGGGGTTGATAATTTCAGTTTTATGTATCTAGTGTGGTTGTCCTACATTTGGGTAAGAAATGTTCCTTGCCAGCAGGAAAGGGGGGTCTTTGGCGGGGGGCGTGAAGATACCAGAATGATGATCAATTTTGAAATAGCATACGGGAAAAGTTGAAATAATAAGTGGATAAGATAGCTGAAGAAGGATCTATAAAGTGAGAAAAGTGGAGCCTGAGACTGAAATCCACGGAACTCCAATAGCCAGTAAGTGACCTAAGCTAAGCTCCTATGCCAGAAGCATGAGAAAATGTAATTGAGTAAAATCGGGTAATTGCAGCATCGTGGGGGCCAAATCAGGAGAGACCTTCAGGAAATGGGTTAATTGTCAATGTCAAATGCAAACAGAGGTCTCATCAAATAAGAACTACTGAGAGCATTTTAGTTGTCATTGTTGAGATCACCAGAATTTCAGTTGCTGTGAGTCGAGAAGCAAATTGGAGATACGAGAATAGAGGCAAGGGAATTGGGAGGTGAGTACCTAGGGGGCAGGATGTAGGGTCAAGAAAGTTTGTTGAGTGGATTGTATAGGATATTTGAGATTTAAACATATTTACAAGGTGAAGATGAAAGAAAAAATGGATAACAAAGAATAAGGGTATGATTGAAGCGGCCCCATCTTTTCTAAATACAAGCTGCTGTGTATTTAAAGATGTGTACTCTATTTCAACTCTTTGGACTTTATTTATAGCTTTATTAAATAGCACTTGCAATTTATATTGATTCAGCAAGATCACAGAATAATGGAAACATTAAACTTTTAAAGAGTCAAAATCCCAAATATGAGATCAAAAAAGGATAAGGAATAATGCAACTCTCTACAAATTAATGGTAAAAAGTAAAAACTTTACAGAAGATCAGAAACTATAACATGTCAATAAAAATATCTGGAATTCTGAACACCAAGATGTGTTGAACATTTGTCACTACTTACTGATTTATAAGCATTTTGATGTACCCATATATCTAACATAGTTGAGATATTTTAACAAAATCTCCTTCAAATTGTGAAATGGAGGAATATTTTAAAATTTCAATTAAAAGAGTATAGTCAATAATTTCACAAGCAGCTCTTTCCTTCTATCAGTGAAAAATTTTTCACTACATAAATTAAAAAATATAAAAAGGGTTGATAAGAGAGATTAAGGCATATAGGGAATTTAATGATATGAAACCATGATTCTAATATTAGCAGAAATATTCGATGAAAATTTTCAAAGATGCCTTATGAAAAATAAATATCCCAGTCCAAAACCAAAACTAAATTGGTATTTATCATGGACTCAATAATGTTAGTGTAGAAACCATAGTAATTGCCATTATAGCAATTTAATTACCTACTAAATTTAGTTCACAAGTCTTTTTTAAAAATTTCTATCTTGCTAATTGCAAATACGCAGATCATTCCTTTTTTTTTTTTTAAGATTTTATTTATTTGTTTGATTGGGAGAGAGCACAAGTAGGCAGGGTGGCAGGCAGAGGGAGAGGGAGAAGCAGGCTCTTCCCTGAGCAGGGAGCCCGATGTGGGGGTCAATCCCAGGATCCTGGGATCATGACCCGAGCCAAAGGCAGCTGCTTAACCAACCGAGCCACCCAGGTGCCCCACGAAGATCATTCCTAAGTTTTAAATGCTTGCTCATCATTAAAAAATGAATAAATAAATAAATGCTTGCTCATCATTTCAAAATATGGGGAAGGGTCTCCAATGGAAAGATATGAATTGTAAGAGTGAAAACTCACTGAACCATGACTCACTAGTGGTCAAGAGCTGTGTCTTACTCATTTCTGAACTTAGCTATCACTGTATCTGATGCACAGTAGGTGTTCAATATAACCAAGTTGAAGAATGAATGAAATGAGAAAAGGCTGCCAAAATAAAAGTCCTCTAGTCAAGGCAAGAAGAGACAATGTTAACCGACCTTCCACCCCCGCCCCCCCCCAACCACCACCTCTTTAGGGATATTGAGAATCTCCTGATAGGTACTAAATGGATAACCTATTTTAAGTATCCAAAGAACTTATTAGAGCCAATATATTTAATGTACTTTGAGAGTAATAAAAGTGCTTTTAAGATATTACACACATAATTTTATTTTCAGAAAATCATTCAACAGTATTCAAAGTAAGAACTTTCCTTCTAAAAAAAAATGTGTCTTGAAAGACTATTTCCATTAACTTGGTTCTTGAATTACCTAGCTGACATAATATCGACATATAAAAGAAAATCTGTTTTCCAAAGTTGAGTTGGCATGGTGAGCTCACACTCACCCATAGGTCAATTAGTACATGTGTTTAGGAATAAAAATAGTCATTCATCTCATTGTCTCCATTGTCCCTGTTCTCTTTCTAGGGAAAGATCCTATCTCTACGTGCAATTTGAAGAGAAGGGATTAACTGCACAGAGCACTTCATTGCCTCAATAAAGGATCTCAAGGCACAGTGGTGCACAGCAGTAGTGTAGAGTTGGATTCAGGAATTTAGGAATTCTGGGGTTGGGACCACAAAACTTTCATGAAGTGAGTGAACCTGGACAATATGGAGGATATTAGGAAAAGGATGGCGGGAGGCTAAATGAAAACAAATACAAAAATCCTTCAGGACTAAATCAGTCATCCCAGAATCCATTTACCTTGGAAGATGCCAGGGAATACAACATTCAAATTCTGTCTCACCATCATTCTGCAACAGTTGATTTAAAGACATTTTTCTATTTACTTGGAGTTCCTAAATAATCTGGTAGGATTTGTTCCCTTTATACCTTCATCCTCCCTTTTTAGCTGACATCTGGATTTTGTTGCTGTGGTAAACTGATCTCTTCATTGTCCCTACTTCTACTTCCCCTCACTATATATATTTTCTTTTATTACATAATCATGATTTAAAAGGGCTAAGAGGAAGACACACCAGCCACACACCCAGACTATGGCTCTGTGATCTCACTTTCATTTCCCTAATGGCTTCCTTGTAATTAGATTTGCGAAAATAGCAAAAGGTCTCATTTTGAATGGCAACAGCTGTTGACATCAACATTATATTGAATAATTTACTGGTTTAATTTTAGCTGCAAAACAATAAAACCCTCCTGTGGATGATTATTTTAGCAGGCAAAGTTTTCTCTTTCTGTTGCTGACTCTTCTGCTCCAGGGGTACCAGTTGTTTCTTCATGAAATATTCTTAACCCAAGTGTGCCAAAAACTTGCAAGGGGAGAAGTTCATTCCTTCTAGTTTCCTTGAAGCAAAGTGTCTATGCGACTATTTCAGTATCCTCCGTCTATGTGCTTATGTGTAACCCAACGAGTTGGCATTAGCTCTTCCAGGCTGCATTTGAATTTGAATGGCAGAATATTACTTTACCTTTTCAGGATCTGCCACTTCACAGAGTGACTTAAGCTGATTTCTTGACCTGCAGGAAATTGTAGCAGCATCTGCAAATTGATGTCCTCTTGGCAGAAAATGATGTTGCTTGCTTAACTTCTTCAATATCCCCTAGCAGCTAGCTCTTAATCTGGCAGAAAATCTCTTTATGGAATCTCATACTTTCCTGCCAGATATATACAGACAACAAGTATCTGTATTTGTATGTGGATGTGTACACATGTGTGTGGGCACTCATCAGGGAGAAGAGGATGTACAGACAGAAGGATAGAGTGTGTTAAATTGTTCTCAAGTCTGAAATTAGTCACCTTCTGGAGGAAAGAAAAAGAAAAGCCCTTACTAAAATAGATTTGCTCTCTTTTTTAAAATTAAGTGTTGGGATTTGTTAGATGAGTGACATTATTTCTTTCAGTTCAGTGCTTTTCTTCTTTCTGTAATATGTCTTTGTTTTTCAACTGTTATCAGTATCAAAGGTAATCTAATTATTATTCATTTTATAATGCATCCTTTTGAAACAATAGAAAACTATGTACCTACCCATCTTCAAGTTGTCCTATACTGGTCAAAGAAATTCTAAGTTATAGGTTAACCTGCCATAAAATTACTTTCACAAAATGCATTTGTGATTTTATTGATATACATATCACTAAATTCTCCCCCCCCACACCTTTTTTTTTTTTTTTTCCGGTCATCACCATTTTGCTTATATTTTGTTGAAGGAGTAATTCAAGGCAGTATTTAGCCTTCAGCTGGTTGTAAGAACAAAGAAACATAAACAGAAAACTCCTGCTAAAGATTTATTAAGCACAAACCTCAAAAGTCTGATGACTATCTTGTCTTTTCTAAGGTATCTTCAATATCAAGTAAAATTTGGAAGAATTTCTACACTCCATACAAAGTAAACCTGCCACCAGCTTCATAAAGGTGTCAATAGAATACTTTTAGGTAAATTCTTAACAGAAATATCTGAGAGGGTATACAGTTGATTGCATAAACCGCTTTCTTTGAAAGTATTTCTCTTTAAGTCAACATGTTAATATAAAGATGAATAGAGTTTTATATGACAATAATATATATTCAGTAGACTGTGTCAAGGGTAAAGATGCTTGTGTGATGGAGTCCTTGGCCAGCAAGGATGCTTACCCTTGGGTGCAGTTTGGATGGCATGGGTGGCACTCCCGATCCTGATCAGCGTACTTGAAAATGAAACTGTTTGCCCCCTGTAAGCCGTCTGGACATTTTTCCACACAGTTCGGGCCATCCTTAAAATGGGAGCACTTTGTGCAGTTGTCAGGTCCCTGAAGTGTGAAAAACAAAACACAATGGAGAAAGAAAAGTGGATGCTCTTTCCTCTGGTACTGATGTGGTTTAGTTCCTAAGACTTCAGTGAGCGGCCAATCTTCCCCTAGAGAGCTGGAGAGCATTTTCAAAACTACAAACGGGGATGTCACTATTGCAGCTTTTCAATGTAAAGGTGAGATGTAAAATTTCCTTTGGTTGTCTATGATTATTTGGACAATGAATTTTAAAATTTACTGTGGTTGAATTATTAGGAATTAGTTTAGGAAAATAAAATTTAATTTCTAGATTACTCTCCATCTCAGATCAGCTTGTGATAACGTTAAAACTCACGTGTCTATTTATAGGGATTTTAGTAAATCACAGTTCAATACTGAGAGCACAATAAAGACACTCTGATGAACAAATATCAAAAGTCCACAATAATAAAGTAGGTGCATGTCAAAGAAAATTATATGGAGAAACTTATCCAATAATAAAAGTGATATAAATTTGAGCATAATAAATTTAAATAGAACTAACTCACTTTGCGTATTTATGTTTATAATATACAATCACTTTCTAATATGCAGAATGTTAATAAGCAATAATAATATACAAATATGTTTAAATGTCATTTAAAAAGTAAAATTTAAAACTCATCTTAAACATAAAAGAATTTTACAAAAAAACTAATTTGGATTTGGTGCTGAAAATAGTAAGCATGCAAAAAAATGTTAAGTAGTCTACCACCAAATCAAAGAAAATTGAGAATATTTTGATTAAAAATGCTGTTTTCTTAAAAGGTGCACTATATTTATACATTTAGCTATTTTTTTAAGATTTTTTATTTTATTTATTTGACAGAGAGAGAGAGGGAGCACAAGCAGGCAGAGTGGCAGGCAGAGGGAGAGGGAGAAGCAGACTCCCCACTGAGCAGGGAGCCTGACACGGGGCTCGATCCCAGGACCCTGGGATCATGACCTGAGTAAAAGGCAGACGCTTAACCAACTGAGCCACCTAGGTTACCCTACATTTAGTTATTTTAAATAATGATATTACCTACTTAAAGTTGACTTTTGCTTCTCCCTTTTAAACATCATATTGTCTTCGGTTCCTCTTTTCTTTGACTACTTTCTGGAACTTCTTCCCCTGACCATTTCTCCCCAAAAGCCATATGTCAATATTGTTCAACAATTATGACAGTTCACATTAAACACAGCTAAGATAAATGAGGTATAGTAAGTACAGCGGGAGATAATTCATTTTATTAGGTTTATAATTATAAATTGTGAATTTGGGAGTCAGCAACAAGCAAACATTGGACAGAGCTATGTATTAGGCAGGGAGCATCCATTCACAAGAGTCTCTCTATAATTGTTAATCCAAAAGCAGTCAGACATTGCAAGTTGGTGATACAAGACATCAGGAAATCAATAAAATATATATATTTTAAAATTTAAAGATTGAGGTGGCTAATGAAGAACAGTGGCGTAAAGAAGAAAAAGTAATAAGGAGGAGGTTTCAGGAAATTCTGGGACTGATGAGGTTCAATCAAGCACCTGTCTATTTCACTATTTTGATGTGAGACTTAGAACTAAAAGAAAATTATCCTATGAAACCTAATCCCCATTCAACCTGAAGAGTTTGCTATTGGCAACTTCTTATGTCCTACCAAAAAAGAGTACTTTACATGCTTCCAATTTTAACACCTGCTCATGGGTACTTAGGCACGTAATGCCATCTATTATACAAAATCATTTACTGTGCAAGTATGCTCAGGGGCATGACTTATTGTACAAGACAAGAGACATGCTGATGTCTTCTTGCAGAACATAAGAATAAAATCTAACTACGAGTAAATTAGGCAGTAATAGTTAAAATTAGAAATTAGGAATTATTTTTCTATAAAATTCTGATGTAAAATAATATCGAGGTAAAATCAGAAGACACAAAGTATTATGAAACTAAAATTAAAATCATATTTAATGTTTAAGTATACTTCAAAAAATTTTTTTGTATGTTTCCTTGTTTTTAAGCATCTCTTACTTATTTGATTGTATTATCATGATACAAAACCTAATGTTCTAAGCTGATATAACTAAAAAATGTCCTAACAAATCTCAAAAGAAATGAAATGTACTGATTCTCCAACTCATTTCCATAATAAAGAGATTTAAAGAAATATGTGTGTCTAATGCTTACTTTTCTATCATTATATTCCCAAAGCTTTTAAGAACCAAAGTTCAGTGAATGAACTGATAAATGTAATGATAAAAAACAGAGGTGAAAGCAATATTGTTCCTTATCTCTGATTTTAAGCTACCCTTGGACTCAATTGTGAACCCAGAAAGCTAAAGGATAAGCTAAATCTTGATAGAAATATTACATTTTTTTTCCTCAGTGACAATTGATGATTTTCTCTGGTAACTACTGTGAGTGACAATGCCACTATTCACCAGCATCCGGTTCTCTTCCACTTCTAGCCACATGGCAGACTGAAATTCTCCTCCCACCAGAAGTGAGGTATGTCTTATTTTAGACAATGAAATTAAGTAGAAGCAATTTATGAGACTGCCAGGGCTAACTCTCCAGCCTTCTCTTTCCCTGCTGCCATGATGCAGGGATCCTATGCAGATGTGGGCATGCCGTAAGTGTAAAGCATCTCAGAACACTAGACCATCACAGGGAGGAGGGCTGATTTGCAATGCACTTTACATGAAAAAGATTTAAACATGTTCCTATGAGCTACTGTAATATGGGGGTTATTTGTTATGGCAGCATAACCTTTATTAACTTGACTTTAACAACTATTTCAGCTTTTATCATTCTCTTCCTCAATCTCTTCTTTGGTATGCTGCCTCTTTGGCTTATATTTTGATCTTCTAAAACTCTGTCTGATTTCCCTTACTTCTCTTTCTTCTCACATGCCCTTCCTTATATTTCTTGAAGGAACACATAGGAGTAGAGAAAGTAAGGCAGAAAGGATAAAGTTGTAAAATAAAAATAAAATAAAATAAAATAAAACCACATACAGACATATAAGGATATAAAATCAGGGGCTTACTTTATTTCAAAGCTAGCCCTCTCAAGATTATCCTGGATTTATGTCACATTCAAATAGTATAATACCATCCCATTTTACATGTAGCTGTTATATTCCCAGAAAACATGTTATTCTTATTATTTACAGAATTGTTGCCTATGGGGGTGGGGGATGGGGGAAGTGAAATGAATAGAGTGTAAAATTTGGAGTCACTTCTATAGTTGAGTCCCAGCTCCATATTGCATAGATTGTTGGCTTTTTAGTGTAACTTTCTAAATATTATAGGTTTAGTTTCTTTATATTTTAAATGGAAAAGTGATAGTATGCTTCAGATGTAACAGTGTTTGACAAATATACATGTGTATCAGTTATTATTAGGGAAATATGGACAGCTTAGGAAAGTGTGATTCCAATAGAATAAATCATAAGACCAGGTGTGGGAATTCCAACCAGCTTTTTAAAAAAACTTTTTTTAAAGATTTTATTTATTTATTTGAGACACAGTGAGAGAGAGAGCACAAGCGGGGTGAAGGGTGGAGGGAGAAGTAGACTCTCTGCTGAGCAGGGAGCCTGATGCAGGGCTTGATCCTGGGACTCCGGGATCATGACCTGAGCCGAAGGCAGATGCTTAACAAACTGAGCCACCCAGGTGCCCCTCCAACCAGCTTTATGACTTTTCCTCTGTCTCATCACAATGTCAGCCTCACAGAGAAGTTTCCAGAACTTCTTGGGTATCTCAAATGATAGATGCCCGTTATATGGCACACAAAAGCACTTCTATCTCTAGTTGTGATAATCAATATGTGAACCCAGATACAGTCAAAAACCTAATATAAATTGTAAAAGCTGAAAGCAAGCAACCTCCTAGTGAAAGCAGTTTGGGCTACTGTTTGAGCTCGGTCCTGCCAGTTTCTCAGACACCATAACCTAAAATTGTATTCGTACCTGCTTAGTATTCCAAGGTTTACTGATCAAGTGATCAAATAGGTTTTCTTGATTCGTGTTCTGATCTTCCACAAATGAGTGATTCGAGTTTACTAAACCTTTCTTACTTTTGACTTACTGCCTTTCCTAATCTCTAGACATATTAATTGACGATGTTAACACTGGGTGGTAATTCTAAGTAGATTGTTGGTCCAACAATGCTGTCATTAAAAAATCAAAATGTATTCATTAAAAACCTGTTTTTTCACTCTTTCTTAGTTAGCAAATAATTTTGAAAATTAAAAAAAACATTAACAATTAGGGTTTTTAATGTGTAATTTATAAACTGTCTCAATCTTTTGAGTAACAAAAGAATGAACAAACACACTGTGAAAATATACAAAGTAAAATAAATTAATAAATTATTTGCCAGCATCATTTATATCATAGGAGAAAGAATGAGGAATGGAAAAAACACAGGACTGGTTTTGCAGTCTGCCTTGTTATTGTAATTGCACATTTTCAAAGTCTCAGTCTCTCTGAAAGATATATTGTTTTCTGTTCTTTGACTTTTGGTACCTAAATATGTTAGTGTTTAAAGACGTCTTATATATATAGCTTGACTTGTTTTAACACAACCCATTTCATAATTTTACTTCCCTGTGTTTCATGTCATTCCTTCCAGCATCCACATTTCTCACACTGCATATTAGTTGTATTTTCCATTAATTCCTTAGTGGGGACAGAAAATAGCCAAATATGCCCTTTGCATACTTACTTGAAGATCATTTACATATTAAATTGTCTTTTAGACTTTGGTTCTTCAGGCCAAATCACACCACTCCTTTTTCTCAGAGGTCTGATTTTCCAAGCTTAATCATACTTGTGGTAGTCCTCTGAACTGTCCAGGTTTTCCACATCCTTCTTTAGATGAAGTTCCAGAACAGCTCATTGGGGCCTAATGGAAGTTTGGAGGCTCAATGATATTCTTTTTTCTAAGCTAATTACATGCTGAATAAACACTCTGGTAGAAAGTTAGTACTATCTAAATTGCATATAAACTCTTATAGAGCAATGTTGAGCTCTTGGCTACACCCAAATGTTGGTCTCCAAATAATCTACTGAGAAATGACTCAATACACACAGAAAACTGGAAGTTTGTCTAAAGAAGGATGAATATGACACTTTGGAATGACAAAGTCATTATTGACCTCATTGGAAAAAGCCTGAATGATGGGAACCAAAGGGAGGACTAAAAAATAATTACCATTTTCTTTATAAGGCTAACTTCAAACATGTAAATGCCAATTTATCCATCAAGACTTTCCTGATCCCATAGCCCCTCTTCCATTCTCATAGCTCTGTTTTTCTCTCTGCCATAGTATTTATCACACTGTTTTAGATTTTAGTTTATAAGTGTTCGCCTCTCCTTTCTGTCTTTCACAATGTCCTTCACAATGCCATAATAGTTAAATAATTAGACAGAGATATGAATGTATTATAGTTTACCTCAAACACACCATGAAATTTTACTTTTGCATATCTTTGCATGTTTCTTTTTTCTAGATTCTTCTTCAAAGCATAGCTCAAACATCACTTCTCTATGGACCCCCTTAATGCCCTACTTTCCATCCCAAAGACAGATTAATTTATCTCTCATTTGTATTCCTATAACAATTGATACATATTTATATTTTATTACTTATTTTGGTTCAATCTAATTACTTACATATTCTCTTTCCTTTTCAACACTGCAATTTTCAAGGGCATATCCATATCCACTTTTTAAATATATTATCTGGGATATAAATATTTAAAAAATTGGATTTGTAAATATTTCATCTCTACTACTAAACTGTAAGCCTCTTGAGGGAGGAATATCAAACATGATTCCCCCTAGCATGCTACAAACACCTGTTGAATGGATGGATAAGTGATAAAGGAATGACATAACAAACATTCACACATGAGCCAAATAAGCCAACACAACCACAGATGCCTGCAAGCTTACCGGTCCATGGCAGGTGAGGATGCCATCTTCCATCTTCTCACACTGGGGGTCACACTCCACACAGATGGAGCCATTCTCAAACTCTCGAAATTCACTGTGAAAACATCAGCTGCATGAGGTGATATAAGCAAACGAGCTGTCAACTTAACAAATGAAGCAACATCTGCTAAAAGTCCTATTGGCAGAGTAACTTCTAGAGTCTGTTTCTTTATGTGCCAGGAGCATTGGAATCATTTCGCTGTACATTATGGAATAAGTTCTCCATTAGGAGAAGAGATAAACTGCAGCCAGATGGCTCTCCTTGCCCTCCACTGGGTTCAATGATAGACTCATTCAGGAAACCTCTCTCTTGTGAGAGATATTCTAGCAGTCTCAAAAAAAAAAAAAAAAAGTATGACTCTTCTGATGACACAACAGAATCATTTTTACCTTTTTTTAAGTAAAGCTGTGCCTGTTTGTGTCTATATAAAATTTTACTCTTGGCTCTTTTTAAACTCTGAAAGAACTATTGTATTTTTCTTGTTGCTAAGTTACATGATATTCCTCATCCCTGTCCTTCAAATCCCAAGACTCTTCAATTTATTTTTGGTGAAACTTCAAAAAATGCTTTGATTTCTTTTCTTCTTTTAAAATAGCTGCCTTGGAGAATTAGAGAAAGTATCTTTTTATGGCAGATTTTATATTCTTAGATTATTGATCTAATATCACATCTTTTTCAGCTTAAGACCTTTTTGAAGTAATTCTATATGGTATAAAATAAAAAATAGTTAAATGGTAACATTCTAAAACTTTCTAATTAAAATCTAGGATGATGGTTATCCCTTCCCACAACCTTACATTTGATTTGAATGTTAAATGCTATCAATAGTAAGTTTTCTAAACAATATCTACTGTAAAATTTTTATTTCAATAATTGGGTATCATTCATGTACAATATGTTTAAATACCCCATTCCCACTAATGTATGAGAGGATGAGGCACTGGGTGAAGACAATTCAGAATGCCAGTTGTAAGTCATTAACAAAACTTGACTAAATATTTACAGCTTCTGTATTATTTTGTGTCTGTATATCATGAGCTCTTTCAAACTAAAAGCACTGCAAATATGGCAATTATGGATTAGTTAGGTGATAAATTTAAATTTGGTTTTCCCTAGAATGAAGTGTTCACTTATTTTCATAGTGAACTATCCCATTTGGTTACTATAAAGCCTTAATAAATGATAGAAATCCAAAAGGTGGGCTATTTTTCTGTTGGTTAAATTAAAACTACACATACTTTAAGGCAAGATAATTAAGCTTGGGTTTTCAAAATAAATAGCATAAATTGGTGGTTTAGTTAGGTATCAATGCACATATTTAGTTACATGGATTTTGCATTTTTAAAGTGAGGTGTTGGCTTGCTAGGGATTAATCTTCTTACAGATTTTCTTGAATTTAAAAACTCAATTACATAGAAACAGATTTTATTTTGTATGTTTTATTAGCATGAATTATATACAGTGCTTGACAGAGGAAATCTTCGAATAAAAAAGTCAAAATGACCTAGTATGGGGGAAAAGAGGACAGTAGGTTAATTGTGAAGAGAATCAAAAGTATCATCTGTATAATGAAATTATAAAACAGTTAACAGCAAAACCTGCAACCATCAGCAAATTCCTTTTTTTTTTTTTTTTTTGAGTACAGTGTCTCGGGTTGCTAAAGGGTTATGTTACTGAATGAAGGTCATAATTTTTGTGGTACTAAAACATTGGTCATGCTTTTCTTTCTCTTCTTGAAAACCCCTTCCCCATACACAGAGTTGAAGAATAAAGTGAATATGTCATAAAAAGTCATGGAGATACAACCTAGCTGCCTTTTCCTCTATAGATAGACTTCTATTTGTATGGCTTTGGGCTCTCTTCCTTTTTGCCCTCAGAACTGATCCTTCTTTTAATTTTTATTACTTCTGCTCTTCATTGTCACTGTCTCCATCATTGCTTTTTCTTCCCCGTTTCCTATTGATTATACTATGACTTTGCCAGAGTTCCCCTTTCACTTGAATCTGACCTAACAAATCACTGTCTATTGAGCTGAGTTTTGCATACTGAGCTTTTTGTCACTTTTTTACTACTCTATATTTCTCACAGTCTTGCTATGTGTGTTACCTTAGCCAATCCTGTGATCCAGAGCAAATGCTTTAGAGTCAAGTCCTTCCCAGATTTGGCGGGTTGTTCCCAACACCAACACTAATACTTCTAGGCCTTAAATCCCTTAACATCTCTAGACTTAATTTTGTAAATATCCTTTGTAAAAGGGAAAAACTGTGTTTCAATGAGAGGTTGTGATTATTAAATATAAATGCTTACAAAGAGCTTAGACTGGCACTCTTTCTGATGTTCCCATTTGTTCTTAATGTTTCAAAAGTGTTTGACCATGTTGCCAAATAAGACAGTTTTAAGATTGGGTTGCAATGAGTTTTCTCTTTCATTCTCAATGCTTGTTCACTGTAGTTAAGAGTTGCTGAAATACAGTGGCTTCTATGACCTGGATTTGAATACTAACATCCAGGAAATAACTGATTTTCTTTTCCCCTTCAAAAAGTTCTCTTTTGAGGATTTCTTCTCATATAAAAGTTATATAAATATATGTGAGCTGATTTTGGTAAATGTCTTATTTGTATTTGTTTTCAACATTTTTAAGGTGACTGTTCTACCTAACCATCTAATCAGCTTAGATTTATAGACACAAAAAGAAAATAATAATCATCTTAGTAGTAAAAATTCTAACAAGACTTTATTATGCATTTTCTCATTTAATGACCATAATTATCCTATGAAATTGACACCATTATTATCCCCGTTTTCCATATAAGAAAACTAAGTTTAGAACAATTAGGTTATTTATCCAAGATTGAAAATGAGTAAGTGATGAAGTTAGGATTTGAATTCATTATTCCTCAAAGGCTGTTTTAACTTCCAGGCAATGTTGGAAGAAATTAGTCAGTACCACAAGATTGGAGATGGGAAAATCTATCACTGCATAGGCTAGAATTACATCAGACTTTTACAAGGTACTTTCATTTATTATCTTTCAAACCAACCCTTATATATGATTTCCCAGAGCCCTATTGCTATTGTAAAATACATTAAAAACTTTGTATTTCTTGAATACATTTGATTTAATGACTTGGAAAATGTTAAACTTTCCAAAAACAGTCTGGTAATCAGTGTTGTTTATTTAGGAAACATGTATTTCTCATGTATTATTTTGCAGATGTGAGAGAGGATGGTATATGCATCCACATATTTGTCCACTTCACATTTCTGACAAGGTTAAAAATACTAAGGAAAAATAATGGCATCTGGAAAAGTAGCAGGATGGAGACCAGATGCCCTGAGTTCTAGTGTTGGCTTGATTCTTCTACAGTGGAATGACACTGGCCAACACTTAATTCTACTAGTTTTCACTCTTTATAAGATATTGCTCTTAGAGAAGATGATTTCTAGAGCCCAGTCCCTCTTTAAAACTCCATATATATATATTCAATAAACTTATAACATTCACTAAATGGAATTAAAGTCTATTAGTTACATGTTAATGGCATCAATGGCTTTACAACAAATAACCATATTTTGATCTGAAGTATTTTATATGTACAGAACATATCATTCATTTATAATGAGAATAAACATGACTACAATTTAATGAGAAAAGCAACACATAATTTGCTGTCCATTATCAAATTTATGAGCTGATTGTACCTTACAAAATTATAAGCTGGAATTTTCCTGAAAAACTATTAAATTCTTATTTTAAACTGTTTCACACTTAAACTTCTAATTTTATTTTTTTTCTAAATTTCATGAAGGGAATTGGTTTTGGTCATCTTTCAAAAAAGAGACGTGTTAATATTATTATGATCCTTAGATTTCTAACTTCCTGATATAAAATGCAAAAGTACAATGTTATCTCAGATCATGAAAACAGTTGTTTAAAATGGGACAATTCTATAATCATATTGATGAAACTGGAATTCATGGTTTGATTTCAAAACAAGTATATTCACTATATATTAGTCACTTAGAGGTTATTTAAATAACAAAATATTATATCATAAAAGACATGTAGAATTTTAAAACAATAAAGATTTGAACCTATAAAAAAATAAAATGGGACAGTTCATGAGGTAAAAGAAGAAACGCAATAAAGAACTTCAAAACTACACTTTTACAGAACTGTTGAAAATCCTTTCAGTGAGAAATATAAGAAAATTTGACTCAGGAACAGTACTAAAAAATGTATTATCACACTAATGAAGGACAACTGTGATGCATGAAATGGTATGTTATGATAAACTGATTTTATGAGTATATGAAATGCCATGCAACAAGATATATACTAGGTTTTATTGTTGGCAATGTGATTATTATAGTACCAATAGGAATTTAAAATTCTTGATTTAAAATACTGCTTAGGTTATCTTTAGAAAGTGGCAGAACACTATCAAAAACCCCTTCAACTAGAAACTACAAAGGCAATTTTTCTATAGGGCTAAGCAGTTGTCAGAGACATAGAAATGTGTATCGTTTGTTGCTAATACACAATCAAAAAGACACAAAACTTGGATGGAAAAAAATTCAAAAGTTAGGCAGTAATTCTTTTTTTTTTTTTTTTTTAAAGATTTTATTTACTTGACAGAGACAGACATAGCGAGAGAGGGAACACAAGCAGGGGGAGCGGAATAGGGAGAAGCAGGCTTCCCACCGAGCAGGGAGCCCGATGCGGGGCTCGATCTCAGGACCCTGGGATCATGACCTGAGCTGAAGGCCGACGCTTAATGACTGAGCCACCCAGGTGCCCCAGTTATGCAGTAATTCTAGATGAAAATTAATAGGAAAGGATGTGAAAAAATATTATTGGGACATTTGAGAGGAAAGATTACTTGTAACAATCTCCTTCATCATGAAAATAAGAATATATTTTTCAATTTTGCTTCACTATAAACGGCTACAGTTTGTTAAGAATGATCTATTTCAGTATGCTTTTTTAAGTTTGTGTAATAGTCAACATATATTTGGACTTGTCTTATTTCCAATAAAATTCTTTCCCCTTAAAACAATTCTTCTATGCGTTGTTGTCTCCTTTATGCAACAAGGGCTTCCCTTAAAAACCCTGGCCGGCACACACATTCTGCAATTTTACCATTTTCTTATCATTTAAAAATCTGAAGCAATCAGTGCCTCAAAGCTCATGAGGTAAAGGTGATGTTGTAAGATGCCTTACCCATCATAGAGGTTGCAAGACTCGATGCAGCTCCTTCCTCTGCTAAAGCGACGGCAGGACAAGCACTGTTCTGGGCCCGGTCCCCAACAGCCATTGCTTGAACACAGGTGGTTGCACACCATTCCTTCAGCAGCTGGAAGAGAAAACACAAATACAAGAGTGAAATAAAAAAAGAAGGATGTGTTAAAACTTAACCATTAAAAAACAAACACTTAACCATTTTAATGTGAATCTTCCCAAGTGATGCTATTTTTTTTTAAAGATTTTATTTATTCATTTGAGACAGAGATACAGAGAGAGAGAGAGTGCGCATGAGCAGTGGGAGAGGCAGAGGGAGAGGAAGAAGCAGACTCCCCGCTGAGTCAGGAGCCTGATGTGGGACTCGATCCCAGGACACCGGGATCATGACCTGAGCTGAAGGCAGACGCCTAACCATCTGAGCCACCCAGGCGCCCGATGCTATTTCTGAAGAAGTTGGTTTGAAGGGGGTTTGTGGCAGATAACTTTGTCTGCCTGCACAGTCATGGTGGTCCACACTACTGTCAACTTCTTCCCTATTGCAGAGCCCCATCACTGCGTGTGTAGAACCACCAAGGTTTTCATAAGAATGAACAGATGTCAATTGTCTACATCAAAATTCTAGGGAGGAAGGGTGATAAAAAATTAACTTTTCCACTAAGGCAAGGAGCAAACCATGCCTTTCTCAATCCAACTCTTTGCTCCGCTGAGCCACCAAAAATTCTAACTTCAAATCCATATGAGAGCTTCATGAAGAAAGAGAACAAATAATACTTGTCTTAAAACAAAACAAAACAAAATTTAGAAAGAGGAAAAAAAAAGAATATCTGGAAGGTAAGGCGGGGGGAGAGAAATGGAAATAAAATACAAGTTTTTTATAGGCCTCTGCTTGCCTTGATAGTCAAATGGGCACATATAAATTGGCAAATATATAAAACAAATTGTAGCGGTCACTGATGAGGAGGTATAGAGATGAAAGTAATAACAATGATCTTTAGCCTTGTCTCTATATAATCTGTTGATGAGAGGGTTGCCAAAGAGTTTTGGGACTGTTTTAAAATTGCCACTTAAGTTCACCATCTCTGTTTCCCTTTATATTGAGTAACAGTTATTCAGAATATTATTATTTATATGGAATAACATGATTTTAGTAAAAGGATACTAGATGTTGAATAAGAAGGGCCTATGAAGACTTCAAATGTTATTCTGAGTATCTGAAAAGTGATTTGAGTCATCTGAAACACAACCGTATATGGTTTTCATAAAATATTGAGAATTTCTAAGAAGATAAAAAAAAAACATCAGAAACATCTTCATCTTCCCATTAGTTACCAAGTTTAATTATTATGGGATGTAAGTTGTCGTGACAAGAGCATTTGTGTGATGGGTTGGTACGGCATTGAATATATGAGTGTAATATAAGCAGGGGACATATCTGTGAAAGTTACCTTCTCTAACATAGGCTTGAGAAAGGAATTGCCACATTCATGATACTGACTAGTTTTAAAATAGTGAAACAAAATCATCCAATTCATATATTCTTCCTCTTATATCCTGCAGCCTTAAGGAGGCCCCTATGCTAAACTGTGGAAAATTTTTTCTCAAGGCAGAGTTAGACCTACTAACCAGTCTTTTTACTTGGTAACTGCTTAATTGAATAATCTCTTCCAACATAGTTTAAGAGAGAAACTATGTGTGTGTGTGTGTGTGTGTGTGTGTGTGTTTAGCAGTTTTATTGAGGTATACATGATATATAATATATTGCTCATACGTAAAGTGTACAATTAGATGTTTTGACATATGCATGCAATCATGAGCCATATACACAATTAGAGTAATGAATGTATCCATTAATTCCAAAAGAGTTTTTTTTTTTTAAAGATTTTATTTATTTATTTGACAGAGAGA